GTACAAAGTAGATCGATCATATTCATGAATATAGTAAACCAAAATCATTAACTTCTAACATTATATATAAATAAAAACTTGTATCATATACTCGATAATAAATCAAATTCTCTTTAACTTTACACATAGACATATGTAACTTAGCACAATCTGTTCGGCCGTGTATGGTATACTTACGTCATTATCAAATCAATCTATATGGAACTGCCATAAGTCGACCGGCAGTCCATCCTAAGCCACGAAAACAAACTTTTAAACAAAGAACTAAAAGTTTCCAGCCAACTATAAACAGGCCAATCTGGATAATTGACTGATTTTGACTCATTTTCACATATTTAATTCCAACATCGAACGACTACATATTTTTTTAGTTCAATAGCTTGAGATGTAAATTTCTTATAAAGTTGTATATATTATATATACATTGGTGTTCAAATAAAATGGCTCTTGGTGTCGCGAAAAAGAGAGAAGATTTAATATTATAGAATCGAAAAGAAGACACTACGGTATTTTGGATTAGATCAATACAGCCAAAAGTTCCACTTTAAGTTAATGTAATTTTCTAGCTAGCCAACCTTTCGAGAAAACGAATTGACTATCGTCTACGTGATCAAGTTTAACCCTTTGGTTTTTACCATTTAAAAATATATAATAAGTAGAAATTAATTAATTAACAAATCATCGCCAACCAAACGCAAGCACTTGCTATTTTTAAATTAGTCTTTTGGGGTTTCTTATGTCAGGTGATTAAAAAACAACCGATGGTTGAAGTTGACCGACGGCTCCAAGTGTGTGAGTGTGACACTGCTCCGCCAACTTGTTTAATTCCCCTCGAAAGCAGATTAGCAACATTATCATAATTGACCATTTTATTTTACTTTTGTTAACCTATTAATGCTTTTAGTTATTTGTCAATTTATACATTATCCTATATGTCTTGTTTTATTTTACAAGGGCCTCAACACTAATCACATTTACATATATTGGCTTTTGTCTAGAGGAAAGTTTTCGTTATCTATCATCTCAAATCGTTATCTATCATCTCAAATACACATATTCGTGATTTTTTCTTGACGACTAATGGCAAATTATGGTTTATATATTTTTCACGAATATCATTTTGGATATCCCGTTCTTGATATCTTTTGAGGGCTAGTATGAATTTCCATCAAAATCCTTCGATTACAAAAAGAAAAGAAATATATAATATATATTTATTTGTGTGTATTATATTTCCCGGGAGATTTGAAATAAGTATAAAACTTTAAAGGAGAAACGGAGGAGGCTTCCTTCAGTGTATACTATAGAATCCTTTGACACGTCAAGTCAAATCGGATCTCCAATAAGCTTTTGTCTAAAGAAATTTAGCCGATGGTATTTTTGACATTATAATTAGGTTAGGATACACTTGCGGTCAAGATTCATGCGAAAATGTAATCATTATTCTTCGAATCGTTTGAAATTAGCATTAAATTAATCATGATTAACACGTGATTAGAAAAATCAACGATTCTCTTCAAGTAGACCAATTCAGATAAATTAGAATAATAGTAGTGAAAAATAATAAGAAAAATAAAGACTATTTTGTGGGACTAATAACCCATTATAATTTTTTTTTTGATCAAGTATAATTTTTTTTATGTTGAGGTTTTAGCTGAACATTTTATTAACAATTAAAAATTTCATGTGTTAATATTTATTTTTATATGTCTTTTTCTCCCTGATTGTCGTAGAATAATCTTTTGGTGTATAGTACAAGTCTGATTTAATTCACGACTCACCTACTTAATTGAAACGGGTTTTTAAATATTTACCGGTACTTTTTGAAACTTCTGCAATTTTCTATACACGTCCACTTATGTGTATCCCATTCTCTTCTTAATTTAATAACATTGCTCACTTTTTTTACCAACCCAATCGCTAGCACAACTTGTATAATACATGTAACTAAAGAAAACACACACAAACGTATTTCCATACATGTGCATGCAATTGTCTCGTCATGGAATCTGCATAACTATTATTATAAAAAATAGTCATGGAATCTGCATAACTATTATTATAAAAAATTACATACACATAAATATTTTAAAACCTACTGTAATATATTTCTTTAATAAGAAATCCTTCGTTGTGGTTTATTATAAGAAAGCCGTCAATGGATAAAAGGCATAAATGAGAAAAGCAATATAGGGAAGGCAAAGCTAAACAATTTAAAAACATAAAAAAAAAACAATAACTTCAACACTAAACCCTTTCACAACAAAAAATACACGGAAACAAAAAAACACAAACAAGCGAAGAAAAGTATTCTTCAACTTGGTTGGCTTATTGTGTATGCCTATATATATTCCATTAAACACTTCTCTTAAAACCCAAAACCTTCACAATCTCTCTTCCTCTCTCTTTCTCTTCCTCAACATGACACCAAGAACGTTCACAAGACTTTCCAATCTCATTCATATTTTTCTCCTGCTTTCTCTCGTTTTCTCAGGTGATTTTCTTTTTTCACAATGAGATTTAAAAAACCAAATTCTTAAGTTATGCGTTATGTTACCGCCTTGAAAATATCAACGTGTGAAATTACGGATCGATAATACTAAGTAAAACTCAATTTTTCTTTTTTTTTTTTGTTTTTTAGTCTATGGATTTTTAAATGTTTGTTTAATGGAATATTTAAGATGTTTTGGCATTGTTTTCTAAAAGTTCGATTCTTTGTCTGGAAATAAATGCAGGGAATATACTAGAAAGAGTAACGTCTCTTGGCATCAATTACGGACAAGTTGGGAATAATTTGCCTTCACCTGATAAAGTCATTAACCTCTTGAGATCTCTAAGGATCACAAAAACAAGAATCTACGACACTAACCCTCAAATCCTTAGTGCCTTTGCAAATTCAAACATCGAGATCATCGTCACCATCGAAAATCAGGTTTTGCCATTATTACAAGATCCTCAACAAGCTATCCAATGGGTGAATTCTCGCATCAGACCCTATGTTCCGGCCACTAGGATTACCGGAATCATGGTCGGAAACGAGCTTTTCACCGACGACGACTCTAGTTTGATAGGGTAAGTAATAATCATTGAATATGAGTCTATAATTTGTTACATGATCGATCAATTAGATTTTTAAATTAACTGATTTCACATTTTCTAGACTAGCACTTGGTCAAATATAACGAACTCCTTTGAAAAAAAAAAATACTATATTTATTTATACTCTACTTCCATTTCAATAAGAAATGAGTGTAATAGTTTTGTCCAATAATGCTAATTTTGACTTTATTCTCTCTCTTTCTTTTGGTAATAGATACATGATGCCGGCGATGATCAACATCCACAAAGCCTTGGTTCAATTAGGTTTAGACAGATACATTCAAGTCTCGTCTCCGAGCTCTCTTGCCGTCCTTGGTGAATCTTATCCTCCATCAGCCGGAAGTTTCAAGCCGGAGGTTTCCTCCGTCATGCAACAACTTCTAGAATTCTTGGAAGCCACGAAATCTCCTTTTTGGATCAATGCTTACCCTTACTTTGCCTACAAAGATAACCCACAAGAAATCCCAATCGATTACGTTCTGTTCAATCGTAACATCGGCATGACCGATCCCAACACGAGACTACACTACGACAACATGATGTACGCTCAAGTAGACGCAGTTGCTTTCGCGGCTGCTAAATTAGGGTACCGTAACATAGAAGTTAGGGTTGCGGAAACAGGGTGGCCTTCAAAAGGAGATGTCGGAGAGATTGGAGCGTCTCCTATGAATGCTGCCACGTATAACCGGAATCTTATGATGAGGCAATTCGCCGGAGAAGGAACTCCGGCGAGACGGAATGCAAGGCTAGATGTTTATATATTTGCATTGTTCAATGAGGATATGAAACCAGGTCCTACTTCGGAGAAAAACTACGGTATATTCCGACCGGATGGATCATTAGCTTACAATTTGGGATTCTCGACAATGTCGACAACGACGGCTAATTCAGAATCTGTCACTTATTCATCCTCTGCCACTAAGGTACAATTAGTATTCTATCGTTTGTTTTATTAGAATTTGGAAATATTGTGGTCACAATGAGAATAAATGGTTGTGAAAGGACTAAATGTGTAAAATTAATTAATTCTCTGTTTTTTCTTCTTTCAGGCAAAGAGGAGCTTGGAATATTGGACAATTTTGATATTGGCGATGGTTCAAGTTGTAATGTTGAGACTACTTTAGAGGGAAAGTTATTGAGAATATAATAACGCGATTGGTTAGGATATTTATGTAAACAATTTAATTAATTAAGCTCGATAAGTTCAAATCTCATATTCAAATCAAGTCGGTCAATAGTTAAATTATTAATTTATAGTTGTCGTTAACAAGTGAATTAGACATATGGATATATAAAAAAAATTAATAACTAATAAATAAACAAAGTTTATTTTTCAAGAAAAACTTATATCGGCGTCTTGTCGTTCATGAAAAGCTTCGAGTAACTTTGACCCTTAGGCATAGAATCGATACACGGTAGCGGTTTAGAACCAACCAAATATATTTTCTCTCTAATTCAAGAAATATGATTTAGCTTGAATCATTTGTATATATTGTTGGATATTTTAAAAACAATCCTAGTTATTTTATATATTTGGAATACAAATCTATGCATTGGAGTGGACGGTACGAAGAATTGGAACTGAGGCTAAGGAAAAAAGCCATGAAACAAGAGCTTATGCTCACGATGCAAATTCACATGCTCATTTCCAATTCTATCGGCTTAATATACTCCTTTGTTCTTGCCGCAAAACGATGCGTTTTGACCTTGAATAAATAGACAAATATGCTTTTTCTCTCCATATTATCTGACCGATCTCTTAAGTTTAATTTTATAGAATAAAATCTGTACGTACGGAAAATAAGTAGTTTTGTAAATGCAAAGTATACGAACAATCAAACATCAATATGCAAAGTATTTTCATACACTTGACAGTCAAAAAATGCATCGATCATTCCGAATAAAAAAAGAAAGAAATTTTATAAAAGATGAAAATTACAAAAGTGCCACGAGAGGAACAAAATCGTTTCACGTACCGGTAACGATCTCTAGGGTTGTGTAGAAAGATCGCAAAAGAGAGTGGTAGCAGAATTAGGGTTCTGGTTATGGCATGGAGATGAACCGGAAGGAGGTACAAATCCTTTGGGAAGCATAACGGAGAAAGTATCCGGTCGAACCGGACGGTTTAAACCGTTACTCTTCTTGGCCATCATCTTGAAGTAGTCAGCACGGCGACGAAGAGTATGTCGATAGTAGAAGTAGTAGTGGTGATCGTAACGACGACGACGGTGGTGGTGGTTTCGTTGCAACCGCCGGTTCAAGATAAACGGCGTCGTTTTCTTGATGTACACGAGTTGGTGCGGTGATTCATTGCCGTTGAGATAAGCTTCCGTCTTTTGTGTTGATGATACTCTTGTTTCTTGATTCGAAGATGATGATGATGGTGAGATGAGGAAGACGAGAGTGAGAATAAGAGAGACGATGAAGCTTTTTAGAAGACTCTGTTTCATCAAAACCAAATCATCCATTGGGATTGAGAGAAAGTAGGTTTTGGTTGAGAGAAAGAGAGAGCGTAAAGATGAAACAAAAGATGAGAACGAGGAGGGAACTAGAATTATATAAATCCTTTTGATGGTGCAAAATTAATTAGTGATAAGTATATCATTAATGAAAATATGATTTTGTTTTCTAAATTTCGTCGATGTTGTTAATTAAATATGAATATAGTTTTATATTTGTACTCGCAATAGATTAAATTGAAAATTGAAGGGACTAATGTGAAGTCGAAAGAAAGTGATCGAACATACAAAGGTTCACATGTTTATTATTTTTGAATGCAAAAAAAAAAAATTCATCACTACCTCATTAGAAAGGAGGAGGAGGAACATCGATGGTGGTTCCAGCAAGAATCTGACCCTTACCAATAAGACGCCAATGCCTATCGACACGGCGGCTTAAAGCCACCTTCTCTCCTATGGTGGTACACACCGGAGACGTCAGTTGAAGTTTCACCATATCTTTCTTCACTCCAATAACCTTAGCTCCTGTAGACATGGACCCGATGTTAACCATTAGTATCTCTTCTTTGGTTAGCTTTGACACTTTCATTTGCTTCTCTTTTTCCTTTGTCCTCACTCCAATGAGACGAGTCAGAAGCTGGAAACTTACTTCAAGCTCAACAAAGACATCAGGGAGAGTTCCCATTTCACCAAGGACTTGACCAACCAACCTATCAGCACGCGTAAGCGTAGGGTCCATGGTTGTTCCAACTCCAATTAGACCTCCCGGGACAGCGAACTGAAGCTCGTTCTGTTCCGCGTAAAGTGAAGTTATACGGGAGTAAATTGGAGTGCATTTTGAGTTTCCAAGTTCATCTTTGCCAGTGATACCAGGTCTAATTTCAATCAGTTGGTTCACTTTCAAAACTCCCTAACAAAGAGAGACACATATCAATACAAAATTGTTTCACACTCAAGTAAGAACAGAGGAGAAACAGAGAGATTAAAACATACCTGGAGGATACTTCCACCAGCAACTCCACCTTTCATTTCATGACCAGCAGAGCCAGGTTTATTGACATCGAAAGAACGAATCACAATCATCTTTGGCGGTGACACAAAGTCTCTCACAGGGATTGGTATCTTCTTGACAATGTATTCACTCACAACATCAATGTTGTATTTAAGTTGTGCTGAGACAGGAACTATAGGTGCATCCTCGGCATTTGTGTTCTGCACCAAGAATAAAATATAAATGTGACAGCAAATCTGAGAACCAAAGTGAGGAAGTCATGAAACATGTAACAACAGAGATAAGAAAATCAATCAAACCGTTATAAATTTCTGAATCGCCTCGTGCTGTTCAGTGGCGGCTTTCTCATTAATGAGATCAATCTTGTTCTGAAGGATTATGATATGCTTAAGACGCATCATATCAACAGAAGCAAGATGTTCAGCAGTTTGTGGTTGTGGACAAGTCTCATTAGCAGCAATTAGAAGTAAAGCACCATCCATGATTGCTGCTCCATTGAGCATTGTCGCCATAAGAATATCATGTCCCTGATGAATACAAAACAGCTCAATTACATATAGCCATTGGTTCTAGTTTTGAGAGACAAAGTGTAAATAAAACTCATTAGTACCGGACAATCGACAAATGAGACATGTCTCAGTAGTTTCATCTTGCATTTCTCAAATCCAGGGACATCACAATTCGGGTTGTCTTCTTTTCCACTCCCATAAGACCTAAAATTAACAAATAAGCTGCTGCTAGAGCCTAGACATACCCTTATCATATAAAAAAAAAACAAGATTAAGACTCACTTGTAACACATTGGTCTAGGGCACTTGTCATCCTCACATTTGTAAATCTTTGCATTTGCATAACCAAGTTTAATGGTAATGTTACGCTCCAGTTCATTCTTAAAACGCACAGTCTGAACACCAGAGATAGCTTTCACAATAGTCGATTTACCGTGTGCGACATGGCCAATGGTTCCTGAGATATATAGCACAGTGTTGGTTTCTTTGACATCAAGTTATATTATAGACCTAGAAGAGCTAGCAAAAGCAGATTTTTTTACCTATATTTATGGTCGCTTGGCGAGAAATGACCTCGGGAGACAGAGGATGTAACTTTGTTACATCAAGTTTACTTAGATCTTGCTCAGCCAAACCCTTGTTACGCGAAATTAACACAGATTGTTGAACCATCTTTTATCCTGCTAAAACCATGAGATCAATCAAAATTCTGAAACCGAAATTGTGGTTTTATCCTGCTTAAAACTAAGAAATCAATCAAAATTCTGAAACCGATATTAGGGTTTCTATACAATAACGATTTCATGCATACCTTGGTTTCTGTTCACAAAACACCACAATAATTTCGATTCTCAGTCGATTCCGACTAATCTGCGTACTGTAAAGTCTCGCTTTGTTTAATCAGTCTCTAACACTTCGTTGCCCGAAATTTTGAGCTCGCTCGATGATAGATGAAAATTTGTAGATTGAAACTGTAACAGGATAAGCATATATCATGGTTCTGTTAAACCAAACTCTCAATTATCTTATTTCCGGTTTAGTTACTCTATTTCAGTAAACCAAGTCTAAGTGTGTTTAGATCGAGTATATGTAGGCCTTTGGCCATCTTTGAGAAACTTAATCAAACAAACAATTATCTTCTTCAATCTTTTTTATTTCTCTCGATCATCATCATCTTCCATTAACACCGAATCTTAGATCTTCGAGGTGATCTTTCACCTTCTGAGCTTTGATTTGCCAATCTCCAGATTCTCGGTGAATCTCTGGATTGGATTTATCTTACCTTATTTTTACTGTTTCAGAAACCTTTTTTATTTGTCTATCAAAACTGCCTAGGCCTAGTCTTTATTTTTAGTGAATCATCAGAACCCAATATGGCCCAATATTGAAACCGTTAAAAAATAAAGTCGAATTTAAAAACACACATCTTTTATAGAATTCCTCATTTTACTCTTTGCTAAACATACATTTTAAAGAAATTTGAATCTCTCTCTTTTTGGACGTTTTCTTGTTACAGCTGCCTATAATCAAAAACAGTTGAAAGAAGAATTGACACTAATGAAAATTTTCAACTTCTTTATAAGGAAAAGTCATATTCATATAGTTTAAGGTAACTAGGTAAGAGTAGGACCACTAGCATGCAATGCTTAAATTTCCATTTTTAAGATAGGAAAGACTTTTATACGATTTGTCAAGTACCACCAAGTGACGACCAGGTGGATGATATACTTTCTCGAATAAAAGCAAGAAATCAGTACTGTTTTCTTAATCTCAAGCATCTTTTATCTATCACGTGGACATTTTGAATATTATATATTCAAATTGCTGCATACTTGTAACTTGTCTCAGATGTTCTACATATATCAACGCAGAGATGTACAACGAATTTAGAGTTCTTTTGTTTGTCTATTAAATTTAACGTAAAAATAAAGTAATAAAAGATTAGCATTTTTATTAACAAACCAAAGTAGAGTTTCTTAACCAAACCACAATATAAGTAGAGTTTGCAACACAATAAATAGTAATACTTCAAATCTTAAACCACACAGATTAAAAGATAGATAACGAAAAAGAAACACAGAGAAATAACTTAAGAGTCATGAGGTAGATATATATAAAGAGAAGAACATTAGGCTAAGCGCGAACCTCAACCCAAACTCCGTCAATGTAAGAAACGCTTTGACCGTCATTAGCACCCCAAGTGTTGTTTCTCACTCTCTCGCGATCAGTTTTAGTGCCTATAATGGCTAGAGTTTGTGGAGATATCTGAAGACGATCTTTCATCTGATCAAAAGATTGGCCGTGGAAAGGATTCCAATCGATGGGATCATTCTCTTGAGTCTTTGAGACATTCCATTCTTGGGTTTGGAAGGTGAAGTCAAAACTATGGTCCGATAATAAAATTGATATTTTGTCCGCAGATGGGGAGATGGACTGTATAGTCGAATTATAAATGTCATGGTATGAGGTAGGGATATGAGTCACTGACCAGTCCTGATCCCATTCTCCGTTCCTCTTGGCTACATAATATATTTGTAGATTAGGAACATGCACATACGGTATATCCATAAGATTATTATCGTGAAAGCTATCGCCTAGGAGACAAGCATAAGTATTGTCTTCACGTGGATCTCCCGTGAGCACACCGTAACGGATCACACTCTCCCGACGTGGGTTTCCAAAGGTGAGAACGGGTAGTACGGTGAGAACGGGTAGTTGGTACCGTTGTGAAGTGAATGGGTTGTATAAGAAAGTTTGGTGGTGTTCGCGTCGGTGTGTGGCAATGGAGTTGGACATAACAACCCAACCCAATGTTGATCCTAAGAATTTGGCCCCTTCAAGATTTGGGTCTTTCCTATAGTGTAGACTCTCTCTCACAGGGTCATAGAAATGGGCATGTCGGGATCCCATTTCACGGTACAACAACCAAGGCCTTTCCTCTCTGAAACTTCCATCACGGAAAGAAGGAAACGTTTTCCTCCAATGACTGTTGACGCGCCTTAGTGCCTCATATTCGGCAAAGTTAGGGTTAAGCAAATTTGTAGATGTTCTGAGGAGCTCTTGAGGCAAACTTCCCCATGAATCCCTGCAAGAGAAACAAATTTGAGAGAAGTGAGATGACAGCATAAACTATAAGAATTAACAAAAAAAAAATGGAAGATAAATTTTCTGAAGGATGTTCTCAAAAATCCCTTCCAAAAATGATATGATAGCAAGAAGAATAATTTTGAGAGAAATGAAATCTGATAGCAGAAACTAAATATGAATTAAGAAAAAATGAAAGAAAATATTTTGCTAGCTACATTTAAAAAAAAAAAAAACATTGCAAGAAACAAGTTAATGAAATGATAGCAATGATATATAAATTTTGAGATGAACCATAGTGATAACACAAACTATGAGAGAAAAGAATGGAAGAGGGTAGTTTGTTTAGATACATTTCGAAGAGAGCAGTCTTTTAGTGATTCTTGTTTGAACAGAGAAATTTCGTTTGATAAATAATGTGTGTGGGGAGATAGAATGAAGAGAATACAAGTTTTATAGAAAAACTGAACCATAGCTTTAAGTTAAAACGAATATTTTCTTCAGAAGTACATTAACACACAATCTACTAAAATTAACAAAGAAAAATATATTAAAGAAATATAATTATGATTTCGTGCTTTCTTTCTCATTAGTCATTACCTAACACCAACATTATCACCATGGTGACGCGATCTCCAGCCACCATATTTCAAAGTAATCCTATATTAAGTAATTAAGCTTTTTTAAGACTTGATTATAGCCGTCAATTTTAAGTTTGTTACACTTTATCTTCTTTTTTCCACGTACCTTAAGTCCATGCTGGTCCCATATCCACGTTATGAAGTTACCAAAGACGGTAATAATGTTTTGTAGACGTAAGGACACAAAAGTAAAGGTTGAATTGGGAAGTTTCGTTTGACACTCACATTTTAATCTGCTTTACTCTATCTACAAAACGTTTCGTATGAGTTCGTCTGATAGCCTAGTCGACATATCTCTTGCACATACACGTATACAATAGATTGATGGGAAATATCTTATTCAACAACAAAACAAACATAAGATTGTTGATTATGCCAGTTAAATAACTGAGTACTATCTCTTAAATGTAAATTATCAACTTACAAAATAGGCTGTATAATGAAATTACATTGCAACACATAAACTCACGTTTTTACCAATTCAGCTATCTTCTTCTTCTTCTTCCTCCTCAGATGCTTCCTTGAGCCACTGTATGAATGCCTCACATTGATTCAGATAAACTTTGTCACATTCGTCTGCGCCTGCTTTCTCTTCGCCCCATCTCAAGATAGCACCTTCTTGCACCACGTCTTTGTCATACAGAAAATGCACAATCTGAGCAAACAAAGGGCCCAACTCTTCAGATTCCTCACACATCTCTTCGAATTTCATTATCACCTCTATCTGTTCATCAATTTGCTTTAAATAAAACCCAAGAAGTCCCTTCCATTTAGTAATGATAGTCGTTGCGTTTCTGTACAATTCACTAGCAGAATTATGTGGAGTATTTACTGCCAGTCTCATCATAGAGTAGAATACTGCTCCAGCACAATCTGCAGATGCCATGTTGTACGCAAATCGGCGTGAGTTAATCAAGCGAATTACATGGTCCACATCATCCTTTATAATGGCCATTAAGAAGGTTTCTTCAACCTCTCTCTCAAAGTAGCCATAGTCATCATTTGCATCAGTGTTAATACTATCAGTATCGGATTTCAACTCTCCAGCAGGTGGGACAACACTTTCATCCTCTATGTCATCATCGTCCATCGCCCGAGTGATATCAGCAAGTTTATCCATGGGGATTGGTACAACAGAATGTTTCCACTCCTCATCATGAGCGCTGTCACATACTTCCCATATGTAACCTGTTCCATCAGGACCAAGCTCAGATGCTTTGGACTCAATTTGCAAATTATGTACGCCTGATAAAAGATCTGCAGTCCCGCTGCTACTACCAGCATATTCCATCTCTTCATCGCTGTCTTCTGTAGTTGGCTGTTGAAGTAAAGAGACCTTTGAATATGTAGGTACAACAAAATCCCGCCCAACTACAACATTGAAAGACAAAACAACACCAGGCTGCAGAACAGCTCCTGCTCTGATTTTCACCCCATCACAGACAATAGCATTCCTTATCTCACACCCATCTTCAATCGTAACATTGTTCCATATGTATGAGCCTTGTATCACCACATTTGATCCAATAGAACATCCATTCCCAATAACAGAGTTAAAGATTTTACCTCCATTACCAATTCTGGTGCCGTATCCAATGACAGTGGAAGCTCCAATATCAGCGGAGCGTGATTGAACTGCATCAGAAGCCCGGTATATCCCCTGTCTCCCGAGCATTAGAGAGCATTTTCCGCTGAAATTGATATCAGGTACGAACGGGTATGTCCACCTCTGGATTATATTCTTGCTAACCATATCATAGCTCCGTAAATTTTCAATCCTTGTAGCATAAAAACTCGACTGAATCTCATGAGTAAAAATCTTGTAACCCATAATATCATCAACAAGCAAACCATTGACAAAATGACGGCGCAGATGTTGATAATCAAAGTTATCCTCAAAGAGACTAAGCACCTCAGGAGAACAAATGTCAATGTAACAATCCTGCATATCATTGCATAGTAAAACAGTACTATCCAACAATGACTTATCTAAGCAAACGTCCCCGATTCTCGCATTACCTTCCTCGTAACGAACAAGCTGTTTCGTTAAAGGATCTACCGCAATGAAGAGTTGATCAGATCCTAATCCTAGTCTAGACTGCTTCTTAATAACCATAGTCATGATAGCTTTCTCATCTTTCTTCTTCCTATCTCTATGTTCTTGAATCAAATCAGCAAGTGGCATATTACTAACAGTATCACCACTAACAAGAACAAAATCACCTTGAATCTGAGACGTCTCTGTCTGTTGTTCATATATATAACGCAGAGCATCACCAACACTTGTGGATTTGGGAGACACTATCGTTCTCACCAACAAGTTTGGGTTTGAGCGTGAGTACCATTCGGATTTCTCTAGGTAATCGATGACCTGGGACGAGTGAACACAACAGAACACGAAAATATCTTCGATTCCAGCTGATTCGAGCCATGCTAAAGTGTAATCAATCATCGGGATGTTCACTAGCGGCAATAGTACCTTTGGGCGTTCTAGGGTTATGGGACGGAATTGAGTGGTGAAGCTGTCCGCTAGAACTATGGCTTGTAACCGTTGACGAGTCAGATCCTCCGAATCATCTCGAACCCTAGCCACGGCGGGTTTCTTCTGAGCACCCATATCTCCGATCAATTCGATTGAAACCAAAATTCACGACAGACGTAAAGTCGTAAACAAATCCTCGCATGATAAAATCTTTAATACGATTTTTAAGATTGTTTTATTTTAATATTAACTAGGCCCAGTCTCATTTATTAGTAATTAACTCATCTAAGCCCAATCAGGCCCAATATTGAAACCTATATAAACTCGAATGTTTACGCTTAAGCGGGAAATGCTCTGTAGAATTGAGAATTCAGTCTTTGTTTCTTCTCGAGTTCTTCACATACAGAGAAATCGCAGATTGATGCAAGTGTAAACACGTGTTTCCGATCTCAATGAGAATGAAGTTTCGCCGGATAATTTCCAGGTTGCTTCTTCATCGAAATTTCTGGTTTCTTCTATTGATTCGGCATTTGACAGTACATGAATTTACTGAATATAGTTTTTGATTTGTTACTTGACGAATATCTTAAGTCACGTTTATGGATCTGGGAGATGAAATTAGCCGTTAATATATGGGATTCAACTCTAGTTTTAGTTTCCTATTTAGATATAATCATTAATAGTGACGTGAACGCCAAGTGTTTGATTATATGATCTTCTTCTCGAAACCTCATCGATTGTGATTAGTCGAGAAATGTGATCGTGTTCCATGTCATTTTTTCGATTAGCGTTTGATGGATTAGTATTCTCCTGTTAAAAGTTATCTAGGATCTTCTTTGATTAACAAATTTTTTCTATTAAACTTGGGAGAATTTTACATTGCCGGCAGATATACATACGTACTCTATGGAAAGACAATAATGGTTACTAGATATAAGATGCTGTGAAAGTGATGATTCTATTGATATGAGATTACATGAGCTTTATACAGAGACAATTGAGCTATACAAGGCAACATAATATTTACACAAAAATGAGAATAATTTGACAGAGATGATTGTGGTCAATCATATATGTTAGCTTGATTTGCATATCCTTAATACGCCCCCTCAAGATGGAGGGACTAAGGTGACTCCAATCTTGTTGCGCAGATAGTGAAATATTGCTCGAGATAGAGGTTTGGTGAGTGCATCCGCTAGCTGATCTTTGGTGGAAACATGTGAGACTCGTAGTATACCGGATTGAATTAACTCTCGGATGAAGTGATAGTCAATCGCAATGTGCTTCATTCTTGAATGAAAAACTGGATTTGCACACAAATAAGTAGCACCAATGTTGTCGCAGTATATTGACGGAGCAGCATGGAGCTTGAGACCAAGTTCAGAAAGTAGTGATTGTATCCAAATGAGTTCTGAAGCAGCATTTGCTACCGCTCTATATTCTGCTTCTGTGGATGATCTAGCAACACCTTTCTGTTTCTTCGAGGACCAAGATATTGGCTGTCCTCCAAGGTAGATGATATAAGCATTCGTTGAGACACAGTCAGCTACATCCCCTGCCCAGTCAGCATCAGAAAATCCATGAAGGCTGAGAGGATTACCTTTGCGAAAGTAGAGTCCGTAGGAACTTGTTCCAGCAAGGTAACGCAGCACTCTTTTAGCTGCTTGCCAATGATCAACCGTTGGGGAGTGCATGAACTGGGATAGACGATTTACAGCGTATGCAATATCCGGTCTAGTAAAGGCTAGATATTGAAGACTGCCAACCAATGTTCTATATTCAGTGGGATTAGAGTAAGCTTCACCGGCCAATGTGAGCTTCGGAGAAGTCGCCATTGGTGTTGTAACTGGTTTGGCGTCTTGCATGTTCATCTTCGTTAACAGGTCTAAGACGTATTTTTGCTGATTTAGATGCAGTCCAGCCTCTGTTCTTATAGCCTCAATGCCAAGAAAATATGAAATTTCTCCCATGTCTTTGACTGAGAAACGAGACCCGAGATTCTGTAAAACGCTTTCAACAGCCTTTGCATTGTTACCTGTGACAATGATGTCGTCTACATATACCAATACATAGACCAGCAGCTTGTCTCGATTGAGAACAAATAAAGATGTATCTGAAAGAGAATTGTGGAATCCAGCGCTTACAAGGTAATTCTTGAGCTCCAAGTACCAAGCTCTAGGTGCTTGTTTGAGTCCGTATAGCGCTTTCTTCAGATGACAAACATATGATGGGTGATCGGGATCCACAAATCCTTGCGGCTGCGAGACATAAACATCTTCAATAAGTCTTCCTTGAAGAAACGCGTTATTGACGTCAACTTGACGAATTGGCCATGAGAGTGAAACAGCAACATCTAGGACGATTCGGATTGTAGTACTCTTAATAACTGGACTGAATGTCTCTTGGAAATCGATTCCTTGTTGTTGATTGTAGCCCTTAGCAACCAGCCGTGATTTGTATTTATCGACACTACCATCGGGAAGAAACTTAGTCCGAAATATCCACTTGGTGTCGATGACATTGTAGGATGGATGCGGAGGGACGAGATCCCATGTTTGGTGACGAATTTGTGAGTTAAATTCATCAGACATGGAGTTTCGCCATCTTGAATCACGGAGAGCTTGAGCCACTGTTCTAGGTTCGTCATTGGATGCGGAGACAACCGTAGAGGTGAGACCAAATTTTGGATTTGGTTTAACAATCTGATTCTTCGCTCGGGTTCGCATTGGGTGATGATTCTGGGGTTGATTTTGCGGATTTGATTGTTGTTGTGAAGCAGGAACCGGCTGAATCAATTGCTCAGGTGAAGAAGATGTCGACGTTGTCTGCGTTTCTTTAGAGCTTGAGTTTTGGGCCGAAGAAGATGACATGTGAGGACTTTGAGAATGGGCCTCTGTTTGTGATGGACTCTGTTGGGCCTGTTGTGAGAGATTTGTTGATGTTGGTGAGAGCCCATTGGAGGATTGAATGTTTGAATTGTTGTCGAGATTGACAGCAGAGCCGGAACCGGTGACAGACTCCCGTGGTGTTGTCGGAGCAGCTGAGTCATCGGCGTTGGAATTTTCCGACGGTCCCGACGGTGGTGAAGAGTCGGAGCACAAAGGAGCCATTGTTGACTCCAAGGACTGTGGCGGAGCTTCTGTGAATGGCGGAGATGATAATTTGATAGTGGTATGAGATGGAGCTGAAGAAGATGGTGACTGTGAGTCATCAACAGAATTTGAGAGAGTTATTGAAAGGGATTTGAAAGGAAATTTGGTTTCATCAAAGATAACATGACGAGAGACATAGATTCGATGAGATTGTGGTTCTAGACAAAGATATGCACTTTGAGTTAGGGAGTAGCCTAAGAAGACACAGGGAAGCGATTTAGGTTGGAGTTTGTGAGAGTTATACGGCTTAAGCCATGGAAAACAGAGGGATCCGAAAACTTTGAGTTTGTTGTAGTTTGGTGTTTGAGCAAAAAGTTTGTGATAAGGTGATTGAAAAGAGAGAATTGGAGTGGGCATTCGGTTTATGAGAAATACTGCAGCAGCAAAGGCATACGACCAGTAGGTCGTTGGGATTTGAGAGTGAGTAAGAAGAGCTAGACCCGTTTCGACAATGTGTCGATGTCGCCTTTCGGCGAGGCCATTATGCTCGGGAGTGTGAGGAGGAGAAGTAAGATGACTTATACCATGAGTGGATAGAAAGGATTTAAGAGCTATAAACTCTCCTCCATTGTCAGAGAAGAGAGTTCCAATTTTTGAGGAGAAGCGATTTTCAACGAGAGGTTTGAATTTGATAAATGTGTCACGGACTTGTGATTTTTGAGTGAGAGGGTATAGCCAAGTATATCTTGTGTAGTGGTCTACGATGATGAGATAGTATTTGAAGTTATCTATAGAAAGAATGGGAGATGTCCAAACATCGGAGAATAGATATTCAAGAGGACGAGTAGAAACTATGGAAGATTGAGAGAAAGAAAGCTTATGACTTTTATTAGTTAAGCAATCACTGCAAGAGAGTGGCTTTGACAGAGAATCAGAAATAGGTAAATGAAAACTTGAAACAATCTTTTGTAAAATAGAAAGTGATGGATGGCCAAGCCTAGAGTGTCATGTAGAAGCATCTGATTTGAGATTGGTGGTGGAGGTTGCGAAAACAGAAGCTTGAGAAGATGGAATTGGCCATTCATAGAGCTCATTTTTAGTACGTCCCTGGAGTAACGGGGCCCCCGTGCTCAGATCCTTCACCTGAAAGGAAGCCGGAAAGAATTTGACCGAAACACGGTTAGCATTGCATAGCTTATATACTGAGATAAGGTTCTTTTTAATATCAGGAACATAAAGAACATCAGTAAGAGAGAAAGGTCGAGTTTTAGAAGAGAGACAAGCCGAACCAGTGTGAGTGATGGGAAGACCCTTTCCATCACCGATTACCACTTCTTCTCCGCCATTGTATGGCTGATGAAGACTGAGATTAGCCAGGTCAGAAGAGATATGGTGGGTAGCCGCAGAATCAAGGAGCCATGGATTGGTGGTGGCCGGATTTGCAGCAGTGAAGTGAGCTCTTGGCTGCCAGGCTGTAGGAGACGGTGAGTTCTGTGGCTGAGCATATGGCTGCATAGACAACTGAGTGCAGCGCCTTGCACTGTGACCATAGACTCCACATATCTGACAACGTCCCTGATAAGGACGAGGCCCCTTGAAGTCATTGGATTGACGTTGTTGAGGCTGCCAGGAGTTGTTGCGCTGGTTGGACTTGTTTTGAGGCTTGTAATTGTTGTTGCGGTAGTGAGTAGCAGCAGTGTTGGCTGTCACCGGTGTTGGAAGAATGGGTTGTGCGGACAGAAGCTTGGACTCATGATTGATAAGCTTCTCGTGAAGCTCAGTCAGAGTTGGTGGAGTGTCACGGCCTTCCACTTGGTCTGTGATGGATTTGTATTCTTCAGGCAGTCCTTGAAGAATCATCTCCACTTGATCTTCATGGTCAAGGGCTTTTCCCAGCAAAGCAAGCTCATCGAAGCGGGTGACAAGACCTTGAACATAGGCATCAATCGTTTTGTTGTCTTTCTTCCAGTTGTTGACTTGAATCTTGAGTTGACGTATGTGACCGCGGCTTGGCTTAGCATAGGTGGAGGCAAGTTTGGTCCATATCTCAGCAGCAGAGTTGGCCCGAGAGAGGAGCGGCTGGATGGAGACAGAGATAGCACCAAT